CACTCATCCGATGATGGACATTTGGGCTGATTCCAGCTCTTGGCTATTGTAAATAGTGCTGTAGTAAACATGGAAATGCAGGTATCCCTTCGGCATGATGATTTCCATTCCTCTGTGTATATTCCCAGCATTGGAATAACTGGGTCATATGGTAGATCCATCTGTAATTGTTTGAGGAAACTCCATACCATTTTCCATAACAAATGATTTTTCAGGGAGAAGAGCTATGTATTTGATGTACATCAAGTGTTCATTATTTTTACCGCAGTACTACTGGAAGTTCTGCTTATTTTTAGATTTCCCAGCAGTGGCTTTCTTATTGGGCCAAATATGAGTACTTGACTTCTTTCTTTCTTTCCCAAGAAACAGCAGTTGCAGATCACCAGCTAAGTCTGTTCCTGACTTTCAACTCAGAATATGTGTATTCCTGGAGCTCTACCCCACTGTGGGTCATTTTCCTTTTCTTACTACAAGAATGCAAAAAAATTGTTCTGCTACCCAGTGGATTTTGGTTTGGCTCTTTCACCTTTTGCTCAATAAATCCACAAATTCTTATACTTACTTGAAAATTAAACTGGGACACGTACACCTACCCTTTTTCCTTGTAGAGCCTTTTAACATATTCTTCTCATATTTACAAATAAAGTTTTTTAATGTGAGATCTCCAACTAATCTGTTGAATTTATATCATATTAATTCTATATTTATTTACTGCTATTTTCTGGATATTCTCCTAAGGGCTTGAGATCTATTAGTAAAGAAGATAGAGGCAAATGTCTAAGTTTTTATTATTATCAGATGAGACTAATAATGATGCAATAAATAAGTAGATTAGGAATAATGTTAAAGGTAATAAATGCTTGGGCCAAAATATACAGCAAATTGACAGTATGGTTTCAAAATTCTATGCTTTGATGATTGAAAACATTAAATTTTAAAAATAAATTTATTAAGATAAGCCTCTCTGAGAAGATGATATATAAGTAAAAAGTTAAAGTAGATGATGCAATAAAGTATGGTGAAAAAAATACCAGGTAGGGGCAACAATTGGTGCAAATATACTGAGGCAAAAGCTTGCCTATTTGCTTGAAAAACAGATAGGAGGACAGTGTGACAATACAGCAAATCAAGAAAGATCTCAAGACTAGAATTTTTAAGTAAAATTTAGAACAAAACTCATATATACAGAAATCTCTCTGTTTCTTTCTCTCTTTCTCTGCCAACACAGCTATCTATAATAAATACAATAAAAATCTTATTCAAAGTAAAGTTCAGAAAACATATTGTTTTTATTAAATACTTTTTAATCTTTATTTTACAGAACATTTTTACCTCATAATTTTAGAGTTTATGGCTATAATGGCACAGGAATTATGAGACCTCTTCAACAACAGTTTCAGGTGTGTTATTTATTGTCTGTTTTAACTTTGTCATATGAGTGTCTATGATCAACTTATAAAGGGTTGGAATTGTCATTTGGGCCTACATTAATTTCCTTTGACAATGTGTAGTGACTTAGCCCTGTTAAACAGGTGATTAACCAAACAAAACACAATGGTGACATTTCTAAAATATTTGTTTCATTATGATGTACATGTATGTGCTTATGTACTTGTGACAATAGGGGTTGAGTATGTCACAAAATACTTAAAATAAAAAAAGCATAATTTGAATTAGGAAAGCTAACTCTGGGGAAAAATAAGAAGAAATACATATGCAATTTTATGAACTTTTAGGAATATATGAAATTTTTATGCATTTGGAACACTTGGAGCTTCATTTAATAATGTCTGTAATTGGTTGCAAAAAAATAGAGAAGTGTAGATAAAATTTTAGGAATTGCCCATTCCTGAAATTCTCTTTTTTTCTCTTTGCCTTTGCCCTGCCCTACCAATTGCTGTTGTTTTTCTCCATTTGCATTCCTGGATTCTGTATAGAAAATAAATCAAATACTTTTTGAAAATAAAGCCTTTTTATAGAGACTAATATTTTAACATAAAAAATAATAGATAAGGTCGGTTTCTTTAAATTTTGCCCAACAGAGCAGGAAAATATACGCAGGTCAGTTGTAGTCTATACAAATACATACTGTCAAGCAGTTTTATGTACACACACATGTGCTTTATATGTGAGAAATAAATTCACAGTTTAAAAGACCAAGAAAAGAATGCTTTATTGATAACTTGAACATAGTAAGTTGTTGAATGTGACCAACATCTCAGATGTAATGAACATAATGTACCATGGAGGTAAATTATGTTGCCAAAGTTGCAAGCCTATCTCTAGCCTAGGAAATATCAGGTACAGTTCATTAATAAGGTTAAAAACAGGTAAGTTTATTGAATTAGCTATTTTTCATAAAGTCCACAAATAATTATCATCTTTAAAAGTTATATTATCCTTATAAATAAAGATTTACCTACAAAAGAGCAAATCATCCAGTTAGGCAAAGAAATAACTTGTTCCCAGTGTTTGCAGCAGGACAAGTGTAAGTCACTCATCACTGTTCTGAACTTTATGATCTCTCCAGGACAAACAGAGAAAACAGTCATCATGATTGAAAGGTAAAATTACTGGAGTGAGAAAAGAATAAAAAATGTGTATGCACATATAAACAGAAATTACAGAAGGCAGTTATTGACAAATGTGAATGAAAAATGAAAATCTAAATGAAAAATGGGCAAATCATAAGTCATAATTATAACTGAAGATTTAAACATTCTTCTCCCAGTAATTAATAAATGAACTAGAAAGAAATTCATCAAGTATCTCAATGGCTGGGGCAGAACTATCAATCAACTTGATCTAATTAACATTTATAGGAAACACACAACAGCAACAGTATATACATTCTCTTCAAGTACAAGTAGAATATTGAACAAGAAATAGTAAAGGCAATAGTAAAGTACAGGAAATGACAATGATAATTTTTTTTTTTAAAATTGAAAGAAGTATTGTCATATTTGTTTTATTTTTTACGTGTCCACTTTTATTTTTTTTTAAATTTTTTACTGAAGCATATTGATTGTACATATTATGGGGTACAGAGATATA